ATGATTATCTTCTGACATATAATGGAATCAATATGGGGATATTGCATTCATTATTTGTTTATGCTAGTAAATGCAATTGCATTACCTAATAGATTCCATTTGATAATTATATATAAAGACTGATGGTCCAGGGGTGTTAACGGAGCGGATACGGCTCGGATATGACACTTACCATATCCATATCCGCTTACCTATCTCGGATACGGATATGGATATGGATATACGTCGGTAAGAAAAATTCATATCCATATCCGCCAAAATCGGATATAGTTACGGATATAGATACGGATATATAAACGGATATGTATGCGGATACAAAAAGGATATTAGAAAACTAGATAGTATTCAGAAAAATATAGTCATGTGATACAAAAAGAGTTCGTTAATATGTTCATTATGATTGAAAAGCTAAGATTAGACATCTTGATCATCAAAATTAATCACAAATTCATAATCTAAGACTCGAAACTATCGTAAGAGTATGACCAATATGTATTCGGATATTTTCGGATACGGATACAGATATTTCACTACAAAACAATATCCGTAATCATATCCTATCGGTTATAGATTTGAGTAACCATATTCGTATCCTAACAGATACGGTTACGGATATTTCTTCGGATACGGATATGGTTTGACACCCCTACTGATGGAGCTCTACTGGAGGTATTAATTAGTTTCCAAATGACTCGTAAAGATGTTTTTGTTATTGGATATCTGGTATCATAATTCATCTCGTATCTTGAAAAAAAAATTGCTTAAATACTGTAAAAATAATGTGTAGATGTGTGCATATTCGGTGAAGGTTATTATTCTTTGAGACGGAGCCAAAATATTCAAAATTACAGACAATTGAGGTGGAGATTTATTACCATTTTCTACTATAACACCCTTATCCTTGTTATCCGTTCCTTTTTACATTAAAATTAGAATACATGAAATCACAGTTCAATGATCAAAATCTCATTAATTATAACCGTTCAATAAAATGGTCTCCATCTAATAAATATGGTTGAACATCATATTCCGGATAATTGCATTAGTTTTTTACTTTTCCCTGAGAAACAAACAAATATTATTGAATAAATGGTCTTCATCTACTTATTCCTAAAGCAATTAAGGTGTTTGTTAAAACTATGCTTAAATATTATTGTCAAAAAAATAAAAGTCATATATGGCATATAAACTAAAGAAAGTAGAAGCGGATTTTAAAAATAACCTGAGGTTGCTTCGAAAGGCATCTCCTTAAAAACATAAACAATTTCAGTAAGCATGCAAAATAAATTCACCAAACACCATTATCGATTGCTTCTCAAAAAAATCAATCAGAAGAAAGAAAGAACCCTAAATCATTAATCATTAAACATCATGCTACTATTTTAATTTGACATCTGCGCAGAATATATCCACTATTTCAGAAAATTTTGGCGCTAGCAAATAACAAAATTTTCCAGCTAGCTACTCAAACGACGAAGTGACAGCTGCTGCATCAGCTCATGTAAGTTCATTATCAAACATACAAATGCTACTTGTTAAAAAAAAAGAATTACCTTGTTATCTTCCTTATTCTTTTTAAGTTGTTAAATGCCAACAACAGACTTTTTTTTTCCTTTCTTTTTTAAACTTGCACTTCCAAGAATATTTCTTGAATATATGTATCCTGATAAATATAAAATTCGTTAGAAAATCATGGGAAAAGCACGGAAGTGATAGCTTACACATCTTAATACAACATATTATATATTTATACCATTACTAGGTGTTTTTATATTAAGTAATATTGGTTTAGGTGATTTCTTGGGCTTTTTACTTTGCTTAATGAGCTTTCAAGGCAAAACAAGAGATCAAGGGCAGAGCTATGTATAGTTCTTGGGGTTGCCTTGGCCCCCTCAAAAGTTTTTGATTTTGATACTAAACTCTTTGTAGCTGGTAACTTTTCATAGACAAGCCCATGGATCAAATTGGATGGACCTCACTTACAAAAGGATCTATGTACCGTTTTTGCCCAGATTATCTTATTAGATTGAGCCCCATTTGTAACATCCTAGATTTGTGCATAAGTATTAGAGATAACATCCTAGATTTGTGCGCAATAGATAACTTCGTCTTTTCAAATTAATTGACTAATCATTAAATGAATAAAGATTCTAGCTTCGCCACAGCAAGATATGTAAACAGGCATGAAGGCAAGATGAAGGAGCATCAGGTGTATATCAAACTTCATCTTATATATTGAAAACTAACGTGTAACGTGTAAACTGCTCTAAGTACTTGTCTTGTAAAAAAAAGAAAATTCCTAACTTTATGATTGAGTGATCACATTTTTTTTTATAATAAAAAGATAGAGCGCAATAATTTTAATTTGTATCAATAGCACCTTAACTTTATCACATCCAGGTGTACCCGGAGCTATTACGGTGATCATGATGCTCATTTGTTCGTTCTTTGGATAGTTAAGTAACAACCAATTCTTGCTATTCATTTACGGTGATCATGATGCTCATTTGTTCGTTCTTTGGATAGTTAAGTAACAACCAATTCTTGCTATTCATTGTTAATATCAATCAAATCGCATTCTTGTTTCTTTGGATAGTTAAGTAACAACCAATTCTTGCTATTCATTGTTAATATCAATCAAATCGCATTCTTGTTGACGATTTCTTTAAATTTTATAATATTATTATAGTCAGCACAACGAAAGGGGAAAAAAAATGCTACAATTCGAATGTGAAGGATTTATACGAGAGGATACATCTTCCTTTGTTCCTATCTATAAGATTCGACCGCTCTCCGTGTGCAAAGGATATCAATATCAAGACCACCTATGATGTTTTTGATAAGGAGAATTTTTTGAAATAGGCTAGTTTTGATAAATATTTAGCAAAAATGACTTTTGATGTATGGAATAACACAGAAATAAATAGAGTTGATTAAGTTGACGGAGGCCCTCTAACTCTCCGAATGTCTGGTCCTTGGACAAGTTGTACTTCCTTGCACAAGTAGCAAATCGTAGGAGGGCAGGCAGTGGCTCCCCGGTTGTTCCTCCGACGATCAAGTCAGTGGGTGGTTTGTGTGGAGAAGTAAAAGGAACTACAGTAGTTTTTAAGTTCAGAGAATGGTGGAAAAGCTTACCTTGTAATTGAAAATAGTATCTCCATTTATAGTAATAGAAGGAGGGGTAGGAAGTTAACTTCGACCGAGTATGAGTTGGCAACCAAGTCAGCTTCAACTTTATAGGTGTCGGCCGGCGAGTGCTGAAAATGTCACTTTGGTGTTTAATGCGAAGTGATGTGGGGTGTGCTGAGCCGACATGGTCCTATTTGATATAAATACTATCGGAGACAGAGAAATGATGACGCCCAGAATGTATCTAATGGCAATTAAGACAAGGTGATTAGTCATCAGTGCACAAGAGGGGCTCGAGGCGTTTCGTCATCTTTCTACTCGTCTGGTGATCGGAAAGTATCACCTATTGAGTCGCCCTCGCAAGGTATCGGCCAGTTAGTCAGCCGAGTGGAGTGGTTAAGTAGTCGACTAAGCCAAGGGGTGACACGAAACGCCTTTTGAGTCGTCCTCACAAGATGTCGACGTGTCGAGTCAACCGAGTTGAGTCTTTAATTGTCTTGAGGTGTTGATTTGATTATGCATAATGTGAGACACTTGTCTACCATTAATTAGAGATTATTTTCCATCATTAAAACGGTTATAACATATATATTTTGCTAAATATTTAGTAAAACCGACCTTTTTTGGCCAGCTCATCAAGGCTGGCCAAAAAGAGGTCGTTTTTGCTGAATGTGGTTTTCGAAACACACGGGACTAGTCCCGTGAATTATCTATTCACTATTATAAAACCCACGTGACTCGTAGTCCCGTGGGTTAAACAGAAACTTCCGCTCGTGTTGCCCAGCAAATACATGGGACTAGTCGTGTGTATTTGTCAGGCCTATAAAAGCCCTAATTGTGCCA